GTTGTTTTTTTTAGCTGTTTTAGTCTCTTCCAATTCTCTTGAAGAGTATCTTCTGTTCTTTATTATCAGAGTCCAAATGCATTTCATGTCTCCTTTCAACTTCACGCATTCTCTAAATTCATCTACCCCAATGACATATACATTGCGAATTTTAGTTCCAATAAGTTTACATGTGGGGGAGCTAAGTTTAATTTAGAGTAGCAGAGATATATGTTTGATTAAAATCTGAAACTTTTGTTGTAATGAGCCTATATGTCCAATCCATTCTCTTGTTTTCATATCACCCTGGAATTGTATGAACGATTAACCCGAGAGCTCTGTTGGATAGTTGCTGCTGATTGGTGAAAATTTGATACTTGTTTTGGTAGATATAGAATGAGGAAATGGGTTTCGTTTCTTATAAGCTTGAGCCATTACGGCGCTTTGATTTTGTTAACCAGGACATGATGGAGAACCTGGTAGCCGGTCAAAGCAAAGCAGAAGTGAGAAAAAGAGTCGTAAAGCGATGCTGAAGCTTGGGATGAAACCCATCACTGGTGTTAGCCGTGTCACCGTCAAAAAGAGCAAGAATGTGTGTGGTCTCCTGAAACTCCCATCTTTGTTGTGTTAATGCAATCATGACTGTTTGTATGTTGTTGCAAATTTACTGACGGAATGTGGATTGGAAATGCAGATCTTGTTTGTGATATCGAAACCTGATGTGTTCAAGAGTCCAGCATCAGATACATATGTGATATTTGGTGAGGCGAAGATAGAGGATTTGAGCTCGCAGCTTCAGTCACAGGCTGCAGAACAGTTCAAGGCTCCAGACCTCAGCAATGTGATTTCAAAGGGAGAAACATCGACTGGTGTAGCTGCACCCGCTGCTGATCAGGATGATGAAGACGTTGACGAGGAGGGTGTGGAGCCAAAGGACATTGAGCTGGTCATGACCCAAGCAGGAGTGTCTAAGCCAAGGGCAGTTAAGGCTCTCAAAGCCGCTAATGGAGATATCGTCTCTGCCATCATGGACCTTACCACCTAAGTCGTAAACTTTTCTCTACTTTCATGTGGTTTTCCTGTTTCTTCAAGTGAGTTTGCATGTTGTATCATTATATACCATAAGTTTGGACTCATTTTCATATTTCAGAAGTTGAGTAGATTGTTATGAGTTTACTCAGTCATATCATGAGAAACTCAGTCATATCATGAGAAATGCAAGTGCTTCCCTTCTTCTTTGTGGCATTAGTCATTGTCAAGCCTTCAGGATACCACTCTTATTATCAAACTCCAATCAGTTTTTTTACAGAGCAACAAAATGAGAGTCGAGACCAAAGGAGAAACATAATTCCCAAACCAATTGATTCATTGAATAAAATAAGGGTGACAAAGAAAAGGTAACCCAAAGTATTGATCAATTCAACTTTGTATAGTATAAGCCTATAGACAATGAAACCATCAAAATCTTGCCTTTTGTTTCACGAATGCAACCTAGCCGCAATCGAAGCAACCTGAGCTTCCATTTGCATCGAACTAACTTTCGCAGCCGTAGCTCGGTAGAAGAACTGCTCCCTCGACAACAACCTCACATTCCTCAAATACTGATCAAACGGTAACGACCCTTCCCGAAACGATTTATCCATGGAATAAACAACATCTTCAATGGCTAAATCCAATGCAGTGCAATCTAACATCTGTTTGGATAGTGTCTCAATGCATTCAAACGCATTATCTATGTCCAAATCTACTACCAAATTCTTAGCTTTCCCTTTGTTCTCCCTAATCCATGAATCAAGAAAATCAGTATTCATGGAGATAACCTGTAATTGCTGCTCTAGTCTCTCTTTCTCCTCCACCATCTCCTCCAGTCCCCTGTTGATCTCTTCCTCTCTCCTCTTGAGACTACCCTGTAAGCTCAGTAATTCTTCCGCCTCTGCTTCTCTACCACTCCTCATCAAGACGAGATCGCCGTGTAACATATCCACCAATTTATTGATAGCATTCCTCTTGTAAACCTCCGCCGCATCATCCGTCTGTTGCTGGTGGTGATGATGAGGAGGATAAGTCCTCGACGGTGGCTGATAACCAGATCCGATTGAAGGAGACGGAGGCTGAGGACGGCGCTGAGAGTAAAGCGGAGGATCACGAGAAAACGCGGCGCTTAGCTGAGCAGCGAGATCGACGAGATTGGAGCTAGGGTAAACCCAATCAGTGAGATAAGAGAGCGAGACGAGTCCAGAAGGAGAGACATTGGAGTGAGGTCGTTTGATGATCATGTCGCGAGTTGGGTTAACGTAGACGCAAGGAGGATGACGAGGGTAAGATTCGAGGAGCCAGATCACGACGGGGATGTTGTAGCTTACGCCTTGGAAAGGCATCGGGATTGTACCGTCGGCTTGGAGGAGGATCACGGAGCGACCGTCGTTGTGAGTAAACGTCGCCGTTTTGGGCTCGAGGGAAGAGTATGAAGAGACTAGGTTAAGGAGGTGTTGCCGGATCAGCCACTTGGTGTTCTCGGCGTACGGAAGAGCGGAGGGACCACGTTGGGAGAGCACGGAGGAAAGGAATTGATGGAGCTGTTGCGTATTCGCCGGATCTGAAGCCATCGCCGATATGAAAATTGACGACTTGGAGACGACGATCAATGAGTAATTCACTTTTCTAATTAACAGGGGAAATAGTTTTAGACTTTTTATAGGTGCGAAGAAGTCACGACTAATTTGTCATTTCCGTGT